TGACTCCCACCTCACACTGCCTGCCTCATGAGGAGACCCGTGTCCTGAATTGACTGCTTTTTTTTTTTTTTTTAGCACATGTTGAAAAAAAGAACAATTATGCAACTCTTTTACCTTTTTGTTTTATTCATGATTTTTAATATTTGTATGCAGCACATTGTGATAGTTGAAAAATAAACATATTTTTCATTTGATGTGTATATAGTAGTGTACTAACTTTTAAATAGGTAGTTCTCTTGGAAATACTAAAAAACAAAAATTAATTTATCTGACACAACAAGTTTAGTCTGTGCAGAGAAACCCCAGATTCAATTAAATGACTGCCACAAAATGAAACGGGGGGTAAGGAGGTGAAGAGTATTCAAACTTAAATTTTGTTGAAGGTTTGGGTCAGCTGACTTCCCCTCGCGGTGTTTAGTAGTTTACTTAATGATAAATAGTTGGATCAAATTAAAGCATGGTCTGGACCTTATCAAGACAACATTAGTTGCCCTTAAATTGCTAACTGTTTTGAACCCTTTGAAACAGTGCTTTATTACTCCATACAATAGATCTCTATGGCACAACATGATCAGAAGCGCAGTGAGTGGCTTTGTTAGACGGTAAGACAAACAAAGTATGGAATATCGATTGCATTTCCCCCCCCACACACACACAGACCGTGGTCTACTAGAATGATATTAGTGAGTTGGCAGAGTAAAATCAAGGTAGGTGTTTTTTTTTATTCCTTTAAATACCATATATGTGTTGATTAGGCGATGGGCTTTCATGGATCAAGGTGTCTATACGTCTTGTCTGGGAACATGTAGTCTTATTATGATGCAAGGTATACAAGCTGCTGTTCATTGTCTACTTTAACTGAAATACAAGTCAATGTGCCATCAGAGGTTAAGCAGTTCTCCCATATGGCTTTAGTCATTTAGTCAACTTCTGAAAAAGTTGAAGCAGGAGAAAAAAAGCTTCAATAACACTGAACAGAGGGCTGGACACAGAGATTTAACACTGCACTCTCATAAACAGCACCATTCACAGCACATTAGCATCATGCTCTTTGCCGCTGGTCATTTTGTCCTGTCACACCCGTCAGACTACATTTGCGTTAAACAGTTTAAAACAAACATGGTCTGTATAAAACCTGGTAACAGTAAGTAGGCCTGAGCCACCCATGTATTTTTAGATAATCTGATGCTGAAGGAAGAGTTGGTAAACCATTTCGTGAGCCTGTGTGTGTGTGTGTACTGGAAAAGCCCGGAGCACTTTTCTGAGTCTGTGTCAATAGGCTAAGTGTTTTCTGTAAGCAGCAGAGAGTGGGCTGTGTGGAGCTTGGCTGCAACTACCTAAATCTTGGAAGTGGAAAAAAGCGAACTACATTCGGCTGGTTAAGTCAGTATTGACGGGGGGTTTTACACCATATTGTCTGAGTTAATTAGCGTTTGGGTTGGAGGGCCAAAATCCAAAATGTTGTCTGTTTTAAAGCTGCATAAATGTAGTCAAGGCAACTCATTCATTAAAGTTACTCAGAGAATATTGAGCAACAACTAGGGTTTTTGTTCTTGCTACAGTGTGATATAAAACTATGTGCATCGCATACTTTGGCTTTTTCAAAAGTTTTAAATCTTCTTAAACATCATGCTAGCATGATTTAAATTTATAAACTTCAATCCAGACTGAAACATATACCCAAGAACTGAATGGATGGGCATCAAAGAGGATATAAAAGAAATGGATGATTCATCAGTGAAGCCAAAGAGGAAGTAACCTAAATTATTTCCAAGGGCCAGCAGGAGGCAAATCTACTCATTACACATTTAAGAAGGACTGTACTGGACTCTGAGAAAATTACCCCCGCTATTACCTAAGTTATTCCCTTAGTAACACTTCTTTAAAGGATTTGTATTAGGCCATGTGGCCAATGTGCCTGACTCAACTCTTCTATACAGGACATGAAACCAAAGCTAGGGTGGCATTGTCCACTTTTTTGGAATGACTGGAGCTCAAATTGTACATTAATTATTGCCAACAAGTGATACTGTTTTGAGAGTAATGGTTTAACTGATTTCTTCATGATCTGCACAGCTTTTTATAACCCCCTCATTATGAGTTCTAATGTAATCTTGTGACTTTTTGGTTAGTTTAAATGATCTAGAGTTAGCATATTACAATGCTAACCTAAGATGATTAAAGTGGTTGTCGTAACCTGCTCAAACTAGCATGTTGTAGCATTGCTGTTTTGGACATTTTTTTTTCTACGGCCTTGGGTATTTCTCTTTAAACCGTGCAAAGCCAGCCTGTGATGACATACATGTGTGAGGAGCTAAACTCAAACATGTCGGTGCTGGATACTTGACACCCCTACTGCCAGGCCTATACAGTGATTTGCAGCTGCTGTAGAATACCTCCAACATGTCCTCAAGGTAAAACAGTTCACTTAAATGTCATATGAAGTGAGAAAAAACAACTTGGGCAAAAGCTGCACACGAGTACAACCACATTAAACTGCTAGCATGGTTGTAGACTCACAAGGATTGTTTAAATTCTAAAGGCAAACGAGAATATGACCCTCTTGCAAATAATTCTCATACTTTGATATTCAAGAAAAGCAGCTCTTCTTAACATGGTTGAACTAATGCTTGGGATGGCAGCGGGTTTGGGGAAAAAAAGCTTTTGGTGAAATAAACACAATGGGCAGTTTCCCAAAGTCCCCTGCAGTTAGAAGATTTCTCCCTCTACAGAGACTGTAAACAGGGTCTTCACATAATCGGTTTGAGCAAAACGCAATATTTGCTGAAAGAGGTACCAGAAATTATGAAAATACTATTATTTGAAGTAGGTATGAATCAGAGCAATCACTGCAGTTATATAAACATGAATAATGGTTTGACGCTATGGAAAAGAAAATGAATCCAATTGGGATCCAAGCTTTGAGTTTTCAGATGTAATTTTGCAGGTATGGTGTTAATGTAAGCTGAAGTCTACCGAAAATGATCAATATTGGATCAGTGTCTCTGTCAGCAGTTGCGATATGGTCTATTAAGTAATTATAGTGTTGAGCATGGTAAGAATGACAAAAAGAGTTCAAACTTTATAGGGAACGAAACTTTGTTCAGATTGGACTTTTCACATACACATTACTATGCATTAAACTTATAATGGCATCTAAGGTGAAAAAAAACCTCACCTAGTCAAGGCACATTTTTTTCAGTCACTCAGAACTGCTGATGAGACACAACACGCTCTGCTCTGCACATGTTGTTCACTACCTCAGCTGCTCGTGCCAATGTTGGAGACTTGGGAGAGTCTCAGCCTCCTCCTGCCTAAGCATATTTTGTGTTGAATTATGGTTACAGACAGGAGCAGACAGAAATGCTCCTCCCGCTGTGAGAAATGGTCAGCACTGGCAGCATATCCTGACATCAAACCATTAGTAGTTTATGAGGAGATGAAGTGTTTACATCTTAGCGATATCTCTTATTCTAAATGGAAAACAGTTTTTATTTTTTTTCCCACGCTATTTAACATGAATGTTTTTTTAGTGAACTCTTGTAAGATGTGAGGAGGAAAAAAATAAAGGGATGACCCCTTTTTATTTTAGGCCCAATCCTCTCTCCGTCACCCAGGATGCAAATAGGAGATCAAGAAGATTGAAAACCTCCAGTGTGACTTATCTCCCTGCTCCGTGTTTTATCTCTTGGCTGTCCACGCGGCTCAGTTTCATCTCAGCGTGTGCTAAGTAGCTGTAATCAGACGTAGAGGCTGGCTTCTGGAGCAGCAAACAAATATCCCTCGGCCACCCTGATCCTATCTCTTCTCTCCCGTCGTTCTTTTTTTGAGCAAAACATTATTTCTCCTCTTGTGTTCAGCCTTTATTCTGTTTATAAATAACATAAAAAAAAATGTTATTCTGAGCAGACTTTAAGAACTTTTTTGTCATTAAGGATTTACAATTAAGACCTTATATGAAGCAACTGTATCTGGTGTGTAAACGTAAATGAATGATTATCTCTAAAACTTATCAAAGGAAAGGGGTTGATGAAGGCTGCCTAAGAGTTTTGGCTAAATGCATTTTAGAATGTTTTTTTAAACTGCATGACCTACATGTTTCAGGGTATCCTGACGATTAGTGAGCATGCCCCATGTACAGAGGCCATAGTCCCCCCGAGAGCGGGCAGCCCGCGTTCGAATCCATCCTGTGGCTCCTTTCCTGCATGTCATTCTCCCACTCTCACCCCCCAGCTTCTGACTCTATCCACTGTCCTATCTCTGAAATAAAGGAATAAAAAGCCCCCCAAAAAACCCCTGCATGTTTCATACAGATTAATGTCATTAAACTATTAAATATGTTCTCTGTCACCTTAGATATATTTGTCATTGTGTAGAAATAGATTATTAATCCAGGCAATAACTACATTAACTTTGAATTGAATATGTCCTTATCTCTGCTTGCAACTTCATCACAAGCGAAGTAAGTACCATTATGACAGAATGTAACAAATGTAATAAAATGTGGAGCCTTGGTCTAGTTCGAATCATGTAAGGGTTTGGTTTTGAGAAGCAGTTAAAGAACTGTGAAAAATAATGATTTATTATTTATCTGCCTACAGTACTACTAGCTATAAAATGTTGTTTTTTAATTAAAAATGATATGATATGACAACTTACCCTTGATTAAACCTCCCAAATAACAGTTAATAAAGCATCCTCACTGCAGTCTTTAAGATATAAGGAACTTTGCAGCACTTTGTCTCCCCCTACTGGCAGCAACCGATCTGACACTCATATTAATGACAGCTGGCTGCATTTGAACTCAGGCTCACATTCAGCTATTTTGTCCCTGGTGGACCTACAGCCCCCTCTGCTCCGTGGTCGCTGTACATCTTCCACAGATGCCGTATAAATAGTACTCTGGAAGGAATCAAATATTTATCACCTGAATTTGTGTCTCCCTCCCTTCAGCAGACACGTACAGCTGCTCCTAAAGCACGAGAAGAAAACGCCACTGATACAGTTAACCCACACAAAAAAATTTAATACCCTTCGTGAGGGGATAAATGGTCCAAACTTTGACATACTAAATAGGGAGAGGTGTGATGACACAGGTTTTTAATGTAAAAACTTGCAGCCAACACCCAAATGCTTTGTAAAAAGTCATGTGACATATGACTTACTTACTTACATAGTTAGTACACATACACCAATGTTTTATATACTTATATATGTCTTTTTTGTTTGTTGTCTTTTTATCTAGACCAGCCAGATACAGTACCGATTAATATACAGTCACATCTGGAATAATACCTATTTAACATCATACAGTCCGACCATCAAAGAGGAATCCTTACTTTGTTTCCAGGTCCGTCCTCTCTATGCTAACATTAGAAATCGGCATGTGTAAAATCTTGTTCTCTTTTTTCATTATTATTATTGTATAGACTGGTGGTGATACTTGTCCTTGTATCTCGTGTCTTCTGTGCAAAAGTTTTTTTTTTCTTTTTTTGTTGAAAGAACCAAAAACATGATTGACATAACAGGATACCTGGCTGTTCACTTTACAGTTATGATGATTTATTTTTTTTGTGTTTCTTTTTTGTCGTTGTTGTTGGAACAATTAAACAGTCACATCCAAACGCGACATCCCCCTGGCATGTCAAGAGAAAACAAGGAGAAATAAAAAACAAAACAATCCAAAGAAACGCTTCCCATCCTCTGTGTGGGAGGCAATGATGGAGAGGAAGGTTTATGACTACAGTGAGCAGCATCCTCCATTCGTACATTTTCTCAGAATAAGGCACTGCTGCATAAAGAAAGGACATGGCCAAAAAACCTCTCTGGGAGTATGATGGGGAGGCAGGATGATAGGAGACTGTTTTCTTCTCCAGCAACTCTCAGAAAGTTTGCATGTGTAAGTAAAATGTGCTTGTGGTCATCAATTGCTGTGCGCAAGAGAAAAGTGTGCGTAATGTGGCATGTCATATTTTTGTTTGTACATGTGTTAGGGTTTTTTTTGTTTCCCCTCACACTGTGCTCTCAAGCATCCACTCAGTGCTGCTGAACGTAACTCTCCTGTTGGCGAGTGGCGACGACTCCATGTTGAGCTGGTTGGTGGACTTGTGCCACCTCGTCCTCGCTCTGCGGGGGTAACTATGACTCTGAAAAATGGAGTAATCCCCTCCGTCAAATGAAAACCTGTGCCTAGTTCGTGCCAGCTCATTAGGGAGCAATCCCATGTTGGCCAGGGTACTTTTCTTGTCTTTGAGCCTGGGAGCCTCCTTGGTGCCAGCATTGGGGCCTATGAGACACAAGGACATGGTGGAGCCTGTGAGGCTACTGTCTGTCTGCGTGTCCTCAGACGGAGGGCCGGAGCACTGTGCGTCCAGGCTGGTTCTCCTTTTCATCTTGTCTACATTCAACTGAGGCAGCTCCACCTCCAGGATGGCAGTGGTAGCTCCTGGATTCTCCCTCTTCTCGTTGTCCATCCGCAGAACCAGTGCCATGCACTCTTTAGGTGCCCCAGCCTCGCGCTGGCCCTCGTCGGAGGGCTGCTTGGAGGTAGAGCGCTGCAGCTGCTGCTGGCTGCCGTTGGTCTGCGAGTGCATGCTGGAGCTGACCTTGGTCTTTCCGTCCTCTGGGCTGCCATAGGCCTTGTAACGGATCATCAGGATGATGATGAAAACCAGCACAGAAGCAACAATTATACCACCAATAATGATGATCATGGTGCCTCCCAGGAACTGGCTGTGCATGAAGCGGCACTGGCTGACCTCGTTGGCTGTGGAACTGCACACATCCGACCACACGTGTAGCCGTTAGTGATGTGATGCCGTCGTCGTAAACCGCCAGCACGCAAAGGTCATACTCCCGCCCTGCAGCCAGATCATTGATTAAGAAGTTCTTGCTGGTAGATGGGATCATTCTGCAGAGAGAGGAGACATAAGAGTGTCGGTAAAGATGTTGACGATTAATCATCAGAATTACAACGCCCACATTTACTGATTTGCATAGGGTGTATTAAATCATACAAAGGTGCCAGCTTCACACAACAGAAAGACACAGGGCCATCACAGCTCCTGCATTAAATATCGCTCATTCTGCAACACGCACACAAAAAGCCCAGCACTACATTAAAGCTGACTTATGAGAGAATATGCTGTAGTATAAAACAGCAGTGAGAAGTTGCTCCATTGGGTTTGTGTGTAAAATAACAGCAAGGGTAACTTGCAAGGTGATAAACAAGCCAGATGAGGCTGACTATCTAACAATATGCCTCAACAGCTGCAGGACAAGTGATGCTGCCGCATGATGTGGCTGCAGTTTTCATGTGTGAATACCTAAGGTCACATTTAGTTGGCAGCTGCAACATTACTTAACTCTAAATACAGTGGAGAGAGAGGTATTGTCTTCAGGTCAACATTGGCGTTTATATAATTAGGAGATTTTCCCTTCTCCCTGAAGGGGGGCTCTGATGGTTATCATTTGTAGGTAATAATGTAGCACCCAAAGACAAAACAACACTCAGCTCCATGCCTAAACCGGATGAGAAAATTATGCAGGAGAGCGATTCATTATATCTTGTAAAACCTCCAAAAAAAAAAAAGAAAAAGAAAAGAGGACTTTAATAAACTGGCTCTATGCATACATTAATCTGGTATAAATCCTCCATCAGATTCAGTTCATGTGCGTCACATATTATATAAGATAGATACAGGAAACGTATTCTCATATTTGAAACTGTATTGTCAGAAGGTTTGAGTATGTTTTATTCAATGTTCTAAACAAGGACACACTTTTTAATCTAAAATCAGATATATTGATTTTTCAATAGATGTCAGTGAAGGTGTCAGTCACCCATGTTTGGCCTCTCATGCAAAAGGCTCATTCGTTTCTTGACATTTGCTCTTTACATATTACACAGTTATAGTCGATTGAAACTTACTTTAACCACCAGTCGTTCGAGCAGTGGTCAGTGATAGCTTTTCATCTTTTCTTCAAGTATACAGTTTGGATATTTCCTTTCAATGAAAGTCACCATCTCTAACTCATACTAAATATTGTGCTAAATATTTAATCAGAAAGATTGCACTTTTTACTCCACTGCTAATTCATTACACAGCTATCATTATTAACCACCTTTCAGATCAAGATTTCATAAAAAAAAAGAGATTTAGTCAGCAATTAATATGACATATCTCCAGCTTGACGTTAATGCTGGCTACAAACATGTACATGTCATTCTCTGAGGGAGGTATTTATAGATAGGAAGTGATTAATTGATTCCTGTTAACAGCATAGCAGTTTATGTGCTAATGTGTATAGTTAGAGTTAGGGGGGCTTGTAATTATATTTCCATTTGTCAAAGGGGAGCTGGCAGGAAAAGTTTGTGAACCACTGCATGAATGTAACCCTAACCAGTAATGCAACAAAACAAAACAAAAAGAATAAAAGGAATTTATTTTTGTCTGAACTATGAAACTGTTTTCTGTGCCTGTTTTGAAATAACAATTAATGGCAACCAATGGCCAAGAATTTCTCAGCGTTGTTGGCAAAGGCACCTGGAAACAGTTACAGCCAAGCCCTAGCTAAGTTAATTTGGTAATGACTTTAATTCAATTACAGGGCTCGGGTTTCATTCAGAGGTAATTGTACTTGTACTGTACTAATTTATCTCCCTCGTGTATAACCAATTCATAGTGCATTAGAAAAAAAAAACATATAAAAAACAAACCTGAGTAAAACCTTTCTTTTCCTCTTCACTCTAACCCATCAACCATGAAATGACCCCTTATATTATTTTGTGTCTCTTTGAAAGGAGCCTGACCTTCAGGTTGGGCACAGCCTGTCTAATGTGCTGTACAAAACTACCCAGCTGTATCAAATAGTTCAAACTACTTCTGTAAGGGCCAGTCCTGCAGTCATGATGATATCTTACTGTATCATAGTTCTGATTTAGTTTTGATTCGTTGGGGTCACTGTTTTCATTTTTTTTCCCCTTAACAATTATTGACTAAAAAATAAAACCTTATACTAATACCTTCATCCCATTCTGCTCTTACAATTCTTTACACTCACATCTGACTATTCCATCAGTGTTAATAATTTAATGAAGTTAGATATTATCACATGTTATCCATATTTCTGCAAAGTGAATATGTTTATTCTTATATACATTTTGCTTGTAATACAGTGTGTACTAATCGGAGTTACATTTTGAGTGTAGGACTTTAACTTCTGATTGAGTATTTTAATTGTGTCTTATTGAAACTTTACGTAATGTAAACAAATGATATGAATACTTCTTCCACCACTGCCAGCCTATTAGGAAACCACATCTAATCACACTCTGTGTTTCAGCCAATTACTGCAGACACTTGCTAACGATACTAACAGTTACATGTGCTGAGGTAGTTTGCCTTCCTGTTTTTTATTGTCATTTTTTTTTAATGATCCTGAAAAGATTTTTCAGTCTAAGAGAGTGCAGTCTACTTAGACATTACGTACTGTTAATTATATATGGAATACCTTGGGTTTACTGTACATTTTAAGAATACTGTTGTTGTTTTTGTTTTGTTTTAAGTTATGGAAAATATTCTGCCTTAATGTATCCTACAGATAAACTACAGGAGCTCCATGAACATTCTTAATCAATTTGCCATTTTGGGATCTGTCAATCTGCCATAATGTACCGCTGTGTTATTCAGCAGATGGTGACTCCAGATGTCTCACCTTTTCTTGTGTCCCTGCTCCACCACCACCCTCCCTTCTCCTCTCCTCCCCTCCCCTCCCCTCCCTCCCTCCCTCCAACGCGGCTTACCTGTACACCAAAGTGTCATCTGCCGTGCTGTTGTACTGGATCTGGTACATTCTGATGCCGGGGATGTGGCGCTCAGACGGCCAGCGGATCACAGTGGAGGACGAGGTCAGCTCGGAGACCATCACCCTTCTGTCCTGCTTGTCGTAGCCCTTGGTGTCGTTGCCAGATTTGGAGGAGGTGGTAATGTCTGAGAGACCGGGGTCCTCGCGCATGTGGCCTGTGTTGTTCACAAACAAGGGTAAGGGGATCATGTTGATCTCAACAGCAGCTGTGGCGATGCCTGCGGCATTGGAGGCAACACAATTAAAAGCCCCACTGTCCTTCAGCGTGGTGATGAGAATATCAAGGGTGCCATTATCATACAGGATGGTGCGCGAGTTATTGTGCACCAGCTTGCCATCTGGAGACCTCCAGTGAATATCGGGATCTGGATCCCCCACGGCTTTGCATTTGAGAGTTACTCCTTGCCCTTCCATCACGTAGGGCTTCATGGAGAGATGTTTGGTGATCAGTGGTGGCTCACAGATAAACTCCTCTTCTTGGATGGACCAGAAGTATTTGTCCATGAGGTGCTCCGGTGAGGCACAGGTCTCCAGGTCATCCTCTCTCGTCAGCCTGCGCAGCCACAGCAGCTCACAGTTACAGTGAAGCGGGTTACCTCCGAAGCTCACAGCCAGAGTGGATGAGCTGGAGCCCTTGGTGTCGGACAGCACCTGAGCGTGCTGGAACAGGCTGTCTGGTGGCAGCTTCTGCAGCCTGTTGGAGGTCATGTCCAGGCGGACCAGCTTGGTGAGCAGCGTAAACGTTCCCGCTCCAATGTGGTCAATCAGGTTGTGGTCCAGGGTGAGCGTGTTAATGTTGGTCATCCTGGCTATGGCCTCCCAAGGAAGCGTGCGCAGGTTGTTGTTGGACAGATCCAAGTCTTCAATAGTGGACACAAACTCATCGAAGGAGTTCAGAGCAACTTGGTGGATCTGGTTGTTCCCGAGGATGAGGTGCCGCAGGTTGATGAGGCCTTTAAAGTGGTCACTCTTTATCACACTTAGGCGGTTTCCGTCCATGTGCAGAGCCCGCAAAGACCGCAGGCCGAGGAAGGCTTGGGGGGTGATCTGGCTGATAGTGTTGCGAGACAAAGTGAGGTGGACCAAGCTGGTCATGTTGTAAAAGTCTTTCCTGCGGATGATGGTGATGAAGTTGTCGGTGAGTCGCAGCTCCACGGTCTTACGGTCGATGGTGGGGGGGACAAACAGCAGGCCGTTCTTAGCGCAGAGGAGAGTCAGAGTGGGGGAGACGTGCTGGCAGATGCAACGGCCTGGGCAGCTGTATCCCTCCACCAGAGCCGCACAGAGCAGCACGCACAGAACCAGCCGCTCCATTGTTGATCCGCTTCTAGGTCCTGTGTAAGACACAGACAAATAGAAGAGTCAAAAATAAGGCTCTTTGGATTAATAAATAGCATTGTAGTCTTTATTAGAACCTGCTGCAGAAATCAGGAGCCTGACCTAGATTGCTGTGGCTGCCAGTGAGGAATCAATCAAAAAATGAAATGGAGCTTTTCAGAAATTAATGGCACCTGAGATGATGAAAGGCTGTGCAAACATCGTCAGAAGCCCATGTGGCTGTAGCCTTCTAATGCAAATAACAGGATGGTTTTGTGGAACTAGGCTGCATCATCACTATAACATATAATTTATTATTCATCACGATACAGTTTTCCTAACTACAGGTGTACATCCTAAGAATACACTTATACTTATATTTATAGCATTTATTTATATTTATAGCATCCCATTAATCCAGCCATCCATATATACCTAATAATTCACTTTTTTTAGTCTACATCTGTACATTTTGTAAATAAAGATGCCAAACCTCATTTTGTTACTCTATACTTGTATATGTGTAATGACAATAAAGTTGAATCTCATCTCATCTCACATTTCCACCATGTAACGAGGCTTGTGTGTTTTTCTCACCCTGAATTTCACATCAGGATGGAGAATTAAGGGTACGAAAGGGCACAAGCCAACAAGGCTCAAGGTTTTTCATGACCTTTTCATGCTTTCTGTTCTCCCTTAGCTGCAGAGATGCGCTGCGGAATTAGACAGAAACCTGTCATGTTAATCACAGCAACAAAAAGTGGGAAAAGGTGAAAGCAGTGGAAATATGGCTTGTTTTTTTCCAATGGAGGCTCTGAGGATGCTCTGATTCTCTGATTCCCATTTAGAGGTATTGATTTCAGGGCTTGGAGAGAACACGCCTGTGGTGACAGGAGTAAAAAGTGATGCTTTGGAACAATAACCATAAGAGACCCCAGTGGAACATGAACGGTGATGTGCGGATGATGACACCGCCAGTGGTTTCACCCTCCTTGGCAACCATCTTTGATTGCTTATGCCTTAAGCCTCTCTAGTGATGAGAGTGCCTGTTAACGGCGATAAAGCAAAGAGATGACAACTGTCTGTTCTCATCTAGCTTTAGAGAATGACTGCAGCCCACTGCCCCATCCAGCCCCACAGGGGGACACTTTTGATCCCTGCCAGATTCGATGTGTCAATCAACGGCAGTGTCTCTCTTTTCTCTTGTCTCAGGTCCGGCACAATTATTTTCACTGACTCACATGAGGCTGGCTATAATTTTTCACTTAAATAATCTTTGTTTTGTCATGGCTAATTTTAGAGCCTCTTTATCAACATTCACCATGCTGAGGTAGGTGGTGCTCACATCCTTTACCCTGATCATTATTGGCAGACCCAATAGGCTTAAAGTAGAAGCATTCTCACAATAAATGGTAAATGGTGAATGGACTTGAGCTTGTATTTTACACTGCATGCCACACTCTAATTGCAGAAGTTGCTATGTAAAGTGACCATTAACTAATCCCATTCATACACATGCACACACCACCGACGAAGCAGGGTTAAGTGTCTTTCCCAAGGACACATCGGACATGTTGCTGCAGGAGCTGGCGATCGTACCCCCAACCTTCCTGACTCTACCACTGATCCACAGCCGCACCTCAGTATAAACAGGCCTGAAAAAGACTTTATATAATTCAAAAGCCACACGTCAAAACATGTTGGACAGAAACTACAAGCCAAGCTCTCTTTCACAAATCTCTCAAGCTTCACCTTATTCATATGCTTTGCACAAGGATTGTTTTCGGCCAAACAAACTTGGTCTGATGAGAGTTGTTATGAATTTTCCAGACAGCCGGAGAAGTGAGAAAGTGAGAAGTGTTTTCTTTTTATATCAGCCTGCATTGCAATTCTAACCCAGCGATGAAAAGTCCCAGTTGTGGTTCCTTTTTTCGCTTTCCTGCTCACACTCACGCAAGCACACACACGCACACACACACACACGCACACACGCACAGACACACACAGACACACACACACACACACACACACACACACACAGACACACAGGCACGCACGCACGCACGCACGCACACAAAGGCTGCTGTCTAGCTACTGTCTAGCAGACAACAGGGCACCTCGTTAACTATGAAATACTGCAGTCCAATTGTTGTCACCCAAATCAAAATCTGGGTTTGTTTGTGATTTTTTAGGAGTGGAGTAGAACAGCTTGAAACACAAGTTCAGACCAATGAGTCAGTTTCAAAAGCGTGTTGATGAAACTGACTCAACACATGCAGATGTACGACTTATACTACCTTCCATTTCAGGGTATTTAAATTAAAAAGACTGGACCCATGTTTGTGTTTAAACCTCCCTTCCTCTTTGTTTTCACTCAGCAGGCTTTCATATAACCTCAGTCTCTGAAAAAGATCCACCTTAAAAGCTAGATATTCAAAAATCTTCCGCCCAATTGAATCAACAAAGAACACAAAAGGAAGACAAAATACAACATGCACACATTGTTATTTTCTGCACTGTGTCACATTTATACCAAGACTATTCCTTTTCCTTTTGCAGAAACACACACTCGCTCGTTCACTGTGTGAGAAAATTTCCAAACCCCCCAGAGAGAATTTATTTATTTAGCAACGCTCCTTTATTGTTGGCAGCACAGTTGTGCCTGCCTTGTCTAAATTAATTCCCCCTTTTTATTTTAACTCTCTAGGAAAGAGAAACAATGAATATTTTTTTTTACAGCTGAGCAGATGACACATCCTCTGTTCATAGACTCCTATAAAGAGCTACCGAAAAGGTGAGAGGATTTCACAGTGCTGAGAGTAATCTAGTATTGTCACCAAACTTTGTTAAGTTTCAATATAGTAGTGACTTTGCGTTATTGGGTTAGTTTTCACATAGTAACTAGGCCACAAAGTTCACAGTTTCTTGGAGGACCAGCTGTGCCGGAGCGTTTCCTGCCACACCGTTGAGGATACTCTATTGATCTTTCAGCATCTCAGAGAAGAAGGGGAAAGGGGGGGGCGGAGGGGACTTTGTTGCCACGGCAACACTGGTGTAGAATGTAGGTCTTTGAATTGCATTAAGATGATGTCGAGCTGCCCGAAAAAAAGCGAGGCTTCAATCTTAATGGGTGCTGGGAAGTCTAGGAGGGACGTGAACAGATGTAGGAATGGCCCAGTAAATGAAAAGAAAAGGGCAGCTCCGCCTCACATTTCTATTTCTGTTTTATTGCTTCATTTTAGCAGTAGCAACCAACAAATCGATAGGTGAACAACAAGGAGAGAACAACAAGCTGAGCAGGAGTTTGGGGTTGTTTTTTTTTTGTTGTTGTGTCCAGTCATGCAGGAGCACAATCTTTCACAGGGGACATGGAGAACTTTCACACAACATTTTTTAGTTAAGAACAGCTTGTATTCACTTTCCAACACGTCCAGATTCAAATCATTAAAATAAAGAACAACATATTTACATACAACCATGCAGACAATGATCCCCATGATGACTACGTCTTTACATGCTTTGTATGCAAACATACTTTTATCCAAAACGACGTACATCAGAGAGTAAAAAACAACTTAATACATATCCACCACAGAAACAAATTCCCATTGTAAGTACCGGGAACCTAACCCACAACCATCGGATTACCTGAGTGGCAGTTTTACCCACTGAGCTACAGAGAAGACGTGTGTGTGTGTGTGTGTGTGTGTGTGTGTGTGTATATATAATATATATATATATATATATATGTGTGTGTTACATATGAAGCAGTGACACATCTGCACAGTGCCTGAATATAAGAGCAGAAACTGATTTCAAACTTCTAAACTTTATTTGCAAACTTCAATTAAAGTGAATCCCTGTTTACTTTTAAGTATTGCGAAATGAGCTGCATTTCATTATTACTGAAATTTGAAGATTGGGGACCTAGTAAGCCACCAAGGAGTGAACCTGACATTCAACACTACGCTCAGGTTTTCTAAATTTGGAACCTAAAATCCATCGAGCTTCCTTTGACATTTCTTGCCCTTGGCTACAAAGGGTTGAATTAATACGATTTGAATGGTAGGAAAAAAAAACAACCCTGCAGGTCTGAAGAAACAAATACAATATGAGACTTGAGTAGCATAAATGATCAAATTTGTATAATCTTTTAGCAAGTGATCAAAAGTAAACTCTGAAACATTTTTTGTCATGAATCTAGTCAGACGTAAGGAATTGTAACAGTCTGGAGAAATCATCAATTGTGGAAAAAAAACATTGCTGCCTTTGTTATTAATTACTCTGCTCTTTAAAATGACTGATCTTTATTGAACTAAGAATAATTTGTTCAATAAGGACATCTATGTTTTTCCAATTTTCTTACAAGTCTGTGATTTATTTGAACATCTACAAATAAAAAGTTGCATAACAGCGGTTTTTCACTTTGTTTTCTTCCCTATCCCGCCATAATGCAACTTTTAATGAGGACGTTTCAGACAAATCTGACGGCTAAGTAGCGCTCTGATGACTGATGACTCCCATCTATATTAGAGGATCTGTGTTAGAGGTGTGTTTGAGTGGGCGGGAAAAACAAGCATGAATATAAAGAAGTTGATTTAGATGCTGGAGGGTGTGTGAGATAACAAGCTGTTTTTTTTTTTCCACAGCAGTGGCACTCGTATCAGGGGAGGAGACACAGTGTGTGTACCTTCATGTGTTTGTTGCTAGAGGAGACAGGTACACAGTGTAGGGGAGCTAAGATACCTGCTTTAAATACAGAGGAGACAGAATTAAGATTGATACTGTTTAATGTTGTGTGTTAATGTGTCTGATTTGTGTTTCTAAGCTATACTAATGTTTCTGAGGTTTGCTTTATCTTCTTTCAAAGGCTACTCTGTATTCTTGGCTTTAAGGTTGGTAATGGTGGAGCTGTCCCATGGGGCCCATTCTAACGTAACCTTAATTGTTTTCTCTTTAGGTAAAGGTTGTTAATTTTCTGCCTAACATCTGGCTGTGTGGTGATTATATCACTTCC